ACATAGATCACAACCTTGTTCAGAGAAAACCCTCTTGCAATTTTCTTTTGCCAGTGGTCCTAAATCATAGCAACCAAGGAAAGGATATCAAACAACAAGCAATCTTATAGATGAATCAAAACAACTATGCAATGATCTGATCAATTACAATGCAACACGGAATTACATCTCACCAGTGACATGCTCCCTCTGTGATTCAAAAGATTTGAAGTGCTTTTTACACACTCCACATCTAGGCTGATGAACTGAATGGAACGAGACATTAATGTGCTCGACAAGATGTTCCTTTTTCTTATACTGCTTGTAGCATGCAACACATTTGTACCTGCAAAGCCCACAGGTCAAGAATCTTTTCAAAATATTCAACAACAAAAAAATCACATATCACATTGTGTATATACCTAATAGCACAGTTTGTCAACTAGTTTTGCAATTGTTCTTAAATATTCAAGTTCAGATACATTACTATAGCAGGACAATTGGGATTAATTAAGTGAAATGATCCCCAAGGAAGATTTGTTTCCAAAATCAAAGGAAATTTATTTCCAAATCAAGAAAATCACTTCGATAAAACTAGAATCAAACAAAGCGTGATAAACCATGTCAAATTTTGCAATGCCCCTCAATTAGCTTATCAGAAAAGTTCATAAATAAGCCACCCAAACAAAATCTATATTCAATTTCTCAGCAAACATGCAAGTCCTTGTGGAAATGTGGAAATAAAAGCCATAAACCTCACAAATTGCAGAAGATGTGAGAGAGAGAGAGAGAGAGAGAGAGAGATGGAACCTTGTGTTTGTGGTTTTTGGAAATTCTGGTTCGAAGTCCATGAAGCCCAGAGCTGCTCTCAACAACGCCGTCGACGAGGCTTCAAAATTGGCGGGAAAACAGCAGTACGAGAAATGTGCACAAAATGGAGGTGAGCCCAAATGGGGGATATTTTTTCTGACTTCTCTCACAGAGAGTCAGAGAATTAGGGTTTTTCAAGTTTTTTGTTGAAAGGGTTTTTCAATTAATTGTACCATTAATTTTTCTATGCGGCCGTCACACCATGTTGACATGTTCATTACATGTTTGACGTGTCGTTTATTACATGTTATAAATTGGGTGGATTAGTAACACAATATCAATATGTTAATGTGGTGTTATGAATGAATGACACACAAAATTTGTCATACAGCCCTTTCTATTTTAGTGATGATAAGTTGCAACAACAATTACCTCACAATCACATACCTTGTTCGATTTCACTTTCGCTCAATGTCGTTTGTTAAAAGAAAAACGGCACGAGCATATTTGGTCTTTGAGTTCACTTACCTTCAATACCCACTGTATAAATATAAAGTACACTTAAATCAAGCACTCTTTTTTTCTCAAACTAAAATCAAGCACTCCGTTAAGTTTAATAGATAATTTTCATCTTAAAGTAATTTTTTTCTTATCATAATTGATTATATTTGGCAAGAAATCACTCTTATATACGAATATTTTTATCAATATTATGTTATGAGTAATTTCTCTTTATAGACTGTGAATCAAAATCACCGATAAAGTAATCTAGATATCCATAAATAATGTTTTATATAAAATACACAGTGCATATTGATTTTGAAGAAGGAAATTATCAATAATCATCCACAAACGAGAAAATAATAAACACGAGGACTTTAACATAAAAATAAATGATTATGAGATCATAAATGTTTAAAACATAATGTCAGAAAGTTCATGTTTGAGCCAAAACAAAGAAATTAAGAACTTATCTAAACATGAAAGCAAAACCCATGTACATATAAATTAACCTAGCAACAATCTTAAAATAATATGGTCTAGGCATATTCAATCAACAATATGATTAGTCTACATGGGGTACCAATAGTTGTCCGCATAATTAGTGTAGTGGACGATAGGGTTAACTTTAGGTGGCGATCTTGACTGAAAATATGAATAGGGTGGTGGCTGATTTTGTCCGTAGTAACCATATGGTGGCGGTGATGGCCTATGATACGCCATTGGTTGATAATATGGGTTTGGTGGTCGGTATCCGGGCCTTGGCATCCCATGAAAGCTCCTATGGGCCGGAATGCCCATAGATGGCCGCATAGGCGGCCGATGTTGAGGAGGCATAGGCATGCCCATGCCTATTCCCATGCCAGAAAATCCCTTCCCATTCTTCTTCTTCTTGTCATTTTTGGCCCAAGTGAGAACTCCATGTTGCTTCTTGGGTGCAAAACTGCGTTTGCTTTCATCATCCGAACTGCTTTCAGCCTCATCACCATCACAAGAGCAATCTTCGCCAATTTGGATGTTGTACTTAGTAGACGCACCAATATTAACATTGTTTTTGTAGGGTTCTTTCTGGAAGGACCAAAGTTCTGCCTTTTTGTCCATGTTTTTGACTATATTTGTGAGAACCATAGGGTCTATGTTACCTGAAACTTTTAATAATCCTTGTTCTGGATCTATGTTTATGTCCTCCACTCCTATAAAAGTATATATAAACTAAATAAACAAGCCAGATGCATGATGAAATCATGAACGGAAAACAATATATTTACCATTGAGTTTCTGCAACTTTTCCTTCAATTTTATTGGACACTTTGCACAACAATGGAGATTCATTTTTATAGTACAAATCTACAGATAACATTAATTTGAAATAGTCAGGAATAATATGATATAACCAAAATGCAACTCGAGAACAAATTCAGGAACCATTTAAGTCGAAAACGCTAAAGAGTAATATATGTTTACATATGCACCAAATACAATAGAAATAAAAGAAAAATACATACCGGAACGGGTGCACGATGTTGCTCCATCAGAATTGCTTCAGATCTTTGTATAGTAGAATAGAAATAGAAGAAGAGGTATCAGACTAATGGGTTTTGTAGAAATTAAAAATGAATTTTCAAGATGAATATGTTTTGGATAGGTAAGAAATATATATAGAGAAAGTGAAGGATTTATGGGCACTAATTATTAATTGGCTAAAACGCAATTAACTGCTTTGAGTGATTTGTTTTGGATTCAAGAGATACTTAAGTGGGAAGGAAGCTCAAAATCCTGAATTTAATTAAAAGCGAGAGATACTAAGTGGTGACGATTGAAGAATTAGAATTCAGCCAAAAAATAATTCCTAAAAAATGAATCCTTTCTACAGGAAATAACTAAAAATGTAATTAAACCAATTATTGTCCTCAACTGCAAAGGACCAGACCAATGGGCAGAGGTTTTCGGATAAGACAAATGACCCTGAGGCAAATTTGTGAATATTGCAAAATATATAATGTCCTTTGTACCCCTCTGAAATTGGCATATGAAATTGGATGTTGGTTACAAGTTACAACTTACAAGATTGAGGAAAAGTAACACTTGGCATATAATTTCTTATGTGTAAATATATATCTCAAATTACAATCTTCTCCCAATTTCTAAGACTAACTAATACAAATTATACAATAGCATCAGTAGCCTGAAGAATAGATAATTGCACCTTCTGATTTCAAAATGTTATATGATTTCTTCAACAATGCACTGTTAGCATTCCCTGCATGATAGCAAGTTTGCTATGATATTATATGTCACAACCTTTTTTTTCATCCAAGCGATATGGGGTCAGAGGGTTTTTCTCAATCACAATAAAAAATGCTATGGGGGTTTGAACTTAAACCACGACTCTACATTTTCATTGACGTTGGCAATCTCACAACCTTATTATTAATTGTTATAGAACCTTATCTATGATTATAAATTGCCATAAATTTTTCTTAGTTTGGGCATCCACGAGACTTATTTTGTATGCCCAAAATTTATTTTATATTTATATGCAAATATTCCCCCCACCACAAATAGTCCCTTATTTTTGCTTATAAATGGCTTGTGGCAAACAAGACGCTTTTAGCATTATAAATTGAAAAAGGAAAGATAAATAAAAGTGTTTAAGAAGCTTAATTACAATAGAAACCCAATTAATTAAGGTCTTCCCTTCTAATGGCAGATTATGGTTAGTCTACTGATAAGCTGACTTTTTTCAATTTTTGAGTCTTTTGATTTTGCTCACGTCACGTTGGTGGTACCAAAAGAATGTTTGACAATAGCTGTTGGATTGGGACCATCGTTTGATTGGAACCAAAAGAATAAAGCGGATAAGACAAATGGTGGGGCCCACGCACGAGTCTCAGGCACTTGTTGCGTGAGGCTTCTCGTAAACGTAGTAAAATCAAACAGAGTCTCTTTTACCTGTCCATTGAAGAGCTTTGCTATCCCAATGTTGGCGATTAAAAAGTTAAAAAGCTTACTCTTCTCTTTAGCCTTTTTACCCCCTCATCATTTGTCTTAGTATTATTTGTATGCACAAAGTTTATTTTATATTTATATGTAAATCTTCACCCCCACCACAAGTTGGTTATTTTAGCTTATAAATGAAATGTGCCAAACAAGACGCTTTTAGCATTATTTATTGAAAAAGGACAAATAAATGAAAGTGTTTAAAAAGCTTAATTACAATAGAAACCCAATTAACGTTTCCTCATGGTAGATTATGGTCAATCTAATGATAAGCTGACCTTTTTTCTTTTTGGTAATTTATAAGTTGACTCTTTTCTTTTTTGCTATGGCTGGTGCCTGGTGGGGTACCTTGAATATTATATTCTATCTAATGTTTGACAATAGTTGTTGTCTTGGAACTATATAGTTCGATTGGAACCAAAAGTGAGAGAGAGAGAGAGAGAAAAGTTGATAAGACAAATGGAAGAGCACACGAACAAATCTCCAGACTCATGCACTTGTTGCGTGACATTTCTCACAGAAGGAGTAAAAATTCAGATCTACAATGCTATTGGCTGGCAGATTTAACCTCAGTGTTTTTTTGACGGTGAAGTACATTTTTTACCTTTTTACGTGACCATTTGTACAATGAACGAGCTCAGCTCATTTATATATCAAACAAGTCTATTTGAAATTGGGAAACTAAAATACGGCTTAAGACAGAGACCGCCATGGAAGCAGCGAACAACAACGCGAGCCAGAACCGAGTTGAGAACGGCGAAGCAGGACGTCGACGGATACGCAATCCACTGATTCTCACCACCGGCGCCGGCGCCAGAGGCATGAATGACAATATTGACTGGCGTAACTCTCTCTTTCTCTCGCTCTCACTCTCACTCTCACTCTCACTCTCACTCTCACACTCACTTTCACACACGCGCACGACACAAAACGCACATTGTATCTGTTTTTGGTCCTGTTTTGTGTTGCTGATCCTTTGTTGTTCTCCATTGCATTTGTTTTTTACTAGATTTCATTTATAATAGCAATAATTTTTTTTTGGATTGGATGAGCCTTTACTGTTCTCCATTGCATCTGTTTTTTACTAGATTTCATTTATAATAGCAATAATTTTTTTTTGGATTGGATGAGCCTTTACTGTTCTCCATTGCATCTGTTTTTTACTAGATTTCATTTATAATAGCAATAATTTTTTTTGGATTGGATGAGCCTTTATTGTTCTCCATTGCATCTGTTTTTTACTAGATTTCATTTATAATAGCAATTTTTTTTATCTTGGATGAGCCTTTTTGTGTTGCTGAGCCTTTATTAATTGTTCTCCATTGCATCTGTTTTTTACTAGATTTCATTTATAATAGCAATTTTTTTTTGGATTGGATGAGCCTTTTTGTGTTGCTGAGCCTTTATTGTTCTCCATTGCATCTTTTTTTACTAGATTTCATTTATAATAGAAATTTTATTTTGGATTGGATGAGCCTCACAAAACTCATGTAGAAAAAAAAGAAAATTATAAACGGCATTGAGCAATCCTAGATATTTTTTCAGTGGTTTGCAGCTTCAGTGTCAAATGAATTTTCAATGGCATTTTTTCAATGAATTTTCAATGGACTTATTCCAATGGATTTTTTTCAATGAATTACATGAGGTAAAGTATAGAAGCTCAATTGTTAATGTCATAATATATATTCAGCTAGCTCAACTTTGAATCTTGAATCCCTATATGCAAAAGTTAGGTTTTCGTGTTACAAATCATATGGAAAAATGCAAGCTGTGTTCATAGTAATGGACAACTCGACTACAGTAGATTTCTCAATTTGAACATGCTTTTATTGAAAATCTCCAACAAGTTAGCTTTTATTCAAAAATATACATAAGATCCTTTAATTAACCAAGCTGATCTGGCTTGCTCAGTTACACATTCTCAGAAGTTGTATGCAGTTTTTCGCTACACACTTGTCCCACTGTTCTAATGAATCTGTTAGTGTCCATTACTGGCATGTCATTCACTCTAACAGATTCATTAGAAGTTGTATGCAGATTCATAGTATCCATTACTGGCATGTCATTCAAACTAACAGATTCATAATATCCATTACTGACATGGAGGGAAGTTTTTCGCTACAGTCTAATGAAAAGAAAAACTGCATGCATACAACTTCTGATTTTGAAAACTAAGCTTTGAGCATGGCATTATCATTATGCAGTAGATTATGCAATGTTTATGCACATTTAAGATCATGAAGATATAATGCCTCCTACTGAGAATCTTCCCTGTATTTAATTTTTCTGCAGTTTTCCTTGAACTCATAATCTTCCTCATAATTCTTTCTCCTCCATACTTTTATCTTCCCACACTAAATAGATAATTCATTGTTATGTGTAATGTATTGGATTTTGTTCAATGTTTGGTTGAATGACCACCTTACCAATCTTTGCATCAATATATTCTATTTTTATTTCCATTTCCCCTCCCTGTATATTATTATATTTAGTCTTGTCTATTTTTTCTCTTCCCACACGCTATTTCAAGTGGTTTTAATTCATGCTATTAGGTATTGAATAACTAACAATATTTACATAAAACTATTTGATGGAATGCAGATACTTCCATAGCTTTGGGTTTCCAGCATTTCCTGGTGATGCTAGGAACAACTGCCCTCATCCCATCTATCCTAGTCCCGATATTGGGTGGCGGCCATGTAAGATTTGCATAAAATAGTACATCATGTTTTGCTCATATGTGTATAGCAATTTTAATAGAAGTTGTTTTATTTTGTGTGAATAGGAGGAGAAAGCTACACTGATCCAGACCATCCTTCTTGTTTCTGGCATCAGTACCTTATTGCAGAGCTGGTTTGGCAGTCGCTTGCCAGTGGTCATGGGAGGCTCCTACGCCTTTATTATCCCTGCTATATCTGCTTCCGTTAGGTTCCGGACAGAGGAACCACATCTGGTAAGTTTTGTTTTTATTCTGAATTTGATACCATACTTCGTTGACTGAGTGATAAATTTTCAAACTATATCACACTCACACTCTCTCAAAGACAAGAATAAAGAAAGCACGTGTTTTTTAGAATGTTTATTTCTCTGATTATTCCTTAGCATTCCCTTTTTGAAAACAACACACTTACAACTCTTTTTTTTGGTCTTAACACACTTACAACTCTATTTAAAGAGTTTACAAACACACACTGTGGTACATCTAGAATCACACATTTGATTACAGAATTATTAAATTAAACCACTATATAAAGCAATCATTAAAAATGCAAAAGTGGTCTTTGTGGCTTATCACCTCACGGAGTGCATATTGTGGACATCAAACTATCATAGTGCAAGAGGCAATTTGCTTTGTTTATTTAGACACTATCACAATGCATGAGGCACTTGATTTATTTATTACAACAAGTTCATATTCCTTGTTCTTTTCTTTTTCTTCTTATATGATGTTTAAGCATTCATTTTATAACTGTAGGTTTGATAGTTCATCATGGAACTGTTCTTAATCTATTAACAGTTTCACTTAATCTTTATATGCTGACATCAAATTCTATTCTTACATCCGTTTTTGTGTTGTGCGATTGTCTTTTTCAGAGGTTTATATATAGTATGAGAGCTATACAGGGAGCTCTTCTACTTGCATCACTCTTCCATGTTCTTGTTGGAGTCTTCATCATGCCAACTTTTGGGAGGTAGGTTGTGATAATAAATTCAATCCTATATTGCACGAGTACTAACACACCTTCCCTATTGGTCAAATTAGAAGTCATTTCTTTTAAAAAAAATAACGTGGTATTAATGTTGATTTGTTGTAGACTATTGAGCCCGTTGACTACCATACCTGTAGTGATGCTAGTCGGACTTGGTATGTTCGTTTATGGGTTCCCTCAGGTAATGATGATGAAACCCTTTTTGCTTCTTAACCCTTTTGTTTTTTAAAAAAAATTCAAATTCTTCCTTTGTACCTTTTGTTTTTAATAGATAACATTATTTTTTACTAATTAATGGTGCAGTTGGGCACTTGTGCCGTAGTCGGACTTCCCACATTGGCGACGCTATTTTTCATAGCACAGGTAAGTAGCACCTTTAATAATCCTTTTCTTGAATTGAACTTCAACGGCTAATGCAACAGTGAATTGTGTTGCAGTGCCTCCCCTATCTTGTGTCCAGATCTAGAGAAGAACAATGTAACAGATTTAGCTTTCTTCGTTACTTGAGGGCAAACCCAAATGAAATTCAACGATTTGCACTGCTGTTCTTAGTACCCTTTGTGTGGCCATTTGCAGTAATTATGTCTACTGCATATGGTCATACTCATAGCAGTTGCCGCGTTCATTTGTCTGGACTTTTCAGCGGCGCTCATGGGTAAATTCTACTTTGAGCTTCTATACTTTATCTCTTGTTGTAAGTTTGGAAGTAGTATGACATTAACAATTGTGCATTTCTAAATACAGATTTTGGATCCCAAATCTATTTCAGTGGGGTTCTCCCACTCTTGATATTCGAGATGTGGTTCCCATGGTGGTTGCTGTTTTGATTTCCGCTATTGAGGTAAGATAATCCTATGCTAATGTGATTTAAGATATTGCATCCTTTTTTCGGAGTGATATTTCAGTTGCATTGACATAGTTTTTCTCTTGTAATTTTGAACTGCAGTCTACAGGCACTTTTTTGGTGGCATCGAGGTACGGGTTGGCCACCCCTCCTCCACCTTTTGTTCTCCGTCGAGGAGTTATATGGCAGGTATATACCAACCCTCTGTGATATCTCCCATCAAACTCCCAACACCTTATTTCTCCATCTCTCAGCCTCATGATTTCTCTCTCCATTGGCTAAAACCCCAATTACCTTCCTCTGGGATTTATTAATACTTTTGATAAAAAAGAAAGTAGAGGATCAAACTATCAATCAACAGCCCCCATTGCTCCCTCCTGCGGTGTTTTCACGAAGTAGATTCGATCTTGTAAAATAAGATCATGGTCTTCGTCGTGAGATGAAGCTCCCGGGGATCAAGCGTCTCTTTCTGTTTCTCACCCATTTTGAATTTTTCCTGCTGTTTGGTTGGTTGTTTGCATAATCCGATTGTTTTCTATACTCTGAATTCGAACTGTGATTTTTTATTTGCTTTGTTAAGTCGTTTCCAAAAGGAAGATCAAGCTGATGAGATGGTTTTCTCTTATTATTTTACTTGAAACTATGAGCTTCTTACTAAATAATTTGTTTTTCCCCAATTTCTCTCTTGGTTGTGTGATGAAGATGTTCAATCTGAGCTTCTCTCTGTATTTCTTCTTTTTCTTTTTGCATTTTACAATTTTTGTTTGGCTGCATTTTCTGCATAATTCAACTGAATTTTATACAAGCACAGCAACAATTTGCTTGACTAATTTGATTCTTAACTTTTCTGTTTGGCTGAATTTGTATTTTATATATCTGAATTCGAACTGTGTTTTTGAATTCCTTTGGTCACTTTAATTATTTCCTATGCTTTTAACTATTATACAATTTGTCTAAAGAGTTGGACTTAAAAAACATTGTATAAGATATCATACATACAATAATGTCTTATGATAATTTGATATTATGATAAAAAGCACTTTTTATTTTGGTAGCCAAAATGTTCGATAAAATATCAAAAGCACTTCTATATAGTATAAAAGTGCTTTTATATACAACATCTAAACAACAAACCGCTTCTTTATAGAAGCGCTATTGCCATAAGTGCTACTAGTAGAAGCGCTCCCAAACAAGCTCTCTACTAATTACTAGTTTAGGATTTTTCCAAGTGATCATTGCATTGCCTTTTAAGTTTTTTAATATAACAAGTAAATGTCTCATGTGAAAGTTGCTAAAATACTAACTTAGTTTGTAATGCTTTCAGGGCATAGGCACCTTATTAGCGGGGGTTTTCGGCACAGGGATTGGCTTTACAGCATCAGTGTAATCATTTAACTTTTATTGTAGCCTTGATATTGTTGACTAGTTTGTGGTAATCATATTTAGGTGTAGGCCTTGTAGCACTCACTAATTCTTTTCTTTTTTTTTTTAATCATGGTTGCCAATGTATATATATATATATATATATATATGTGATGTAATATTCTGTTTTTCTAGTGAAAATGCCGGGCTACTAGGATTGACCAGGCAAGGAAGCAAGCGAGCCGTACAAATTGCCGCTGCATTTATGATTGGCTTCTCTATATTAGGTATAGAGTTTCAACTTATATATGTTAGAAGGCAAGAGCTTTTCAAGTTTGTACAAAGTCACTAATTTAGTTGATCCTTCACAGGAAAGTTTGCTGCATTTGTTGCTTCTTTGTCATTGCCAATTGTGGGAGCAGTGTATTGTCTCCTCTATCCATATGTGGGTATGTCTTTGTTTCAATGTGAATGTTAGCCTCTGCTTCCTTATGTTTCTTTAGCATTGATATTGCCTTGCTTCTTGTTTGCCTCTTCCTTGTGCTTCTTTATCATTGCTATTGCCTTGGTTGTTATTAGCCTCTGCTTCCTTGTGTTTCTTCAGCTTTCTCCTTGGACTTCCAATTTCTTTTAAAAAAAATAACGTGGTATTAATGTTGATTTGTTGTAGACTATTGAGCCCGTTGACTACCATACCTGTAGTGATGCTAGTCGGACTTGGTATGTTCGTTTATGGGTTCCCTCAGGTAATGATGATGAAACCCTTTTTGCTTCTTAACCCTTTTGTTTTTTAAAAAAAATTCAAATTCTTCCTTTGTACCTTTTGTTTTTAATAGATAACATTATTTTTTACTAATTAATGGTGCAGTTGGGCACTTGTGCCGTAGTCGGACTTCCCACATTGGCGACGCTATTTTTCATAGCACAGGTAAGTAGCACCTTTAATAATCCTTTTCTTGAATTGAACTTCAACGGCTAATGCAACAGTGAATTGTGTTGCAGTGCCTCCCCTATCTTGTGTCCAGATCTAGAGAAGAACAATGTAACAGATTTAGCTTTCTTCGTTACTTGAGGGCAAACCCAAATGAAATTCAACGATTTGCACTGCTGTTCTTAGTACCCTTTGTGTGGCCATTTGCAGTAATTATGTCTACTGCATATGGTCATACTCATAGCAGTTGCCGCGTTCATTTGTCTGGACTTTTCAGCGGCGCTCATGGGTAAATTCTACTTTGAGCTTCTATACTTTATCTCTTGTTGTAAGTTTGGAAGTAGTATGACATTAACAATTGTGCATTTCTAAATACAGATTTTGGATCCCAAATCTATTTCAGTGGGGTTCTCCCACTCTTGATATTCGAGATGTGGTTCCCATGGTGGTTGCTGTTTTGATTTCCGCTATTGAGGTAAGATAATCCTATGCTAATGTGATTTAAGATATTGCATCCTTTTTTCGGAGTGATATTTCAGTTGCATTGACATAGTTTTTCTCTTGTAATTTTGAACTGCAGTCTACAGGCACTTTTTTGGTGGCATCGAGGTACGGGTTGGCCACCCCTCCTCCACCTTTTGTTCTCCGTCGAGGAGTTATATGGCAGGTATATACCAACCCTCTGTGATATCTCCCATCAAACTCCCAACACCTTATTTCTCCATCTCTCAGCCTCATGATTTCTCTCTCCATTGGCTAAAACCCCAATTACCTTCCTCTGGGATTTATTAATACTTTTGATAAAAAAGAAAGTAGAGGATCAAACTATCAATCAACAGCCCCCATTGCTCCCTCCTGCGGTGTTTTCACGAAGTAGATTCGATCTTGTAAAATAAGATCATGGTCTTCGTCGTGAGATGAAGCTCCCGGGGATCAAGCGTCTCTTTCTGTTTCTCACCCATTTTGAATTTTTCCTGCTGTTTGGTTGGTTGTTTGCATAATCCGATTGTTTTCTATACTCTGAATTCGAACTGTGATTTTTTATTTGCTTTGTTAAGTCGTTTCCAAAAGGAAGATCAAGCTGATGAGATGGTTTTCTCTTATTATTTTACTTGAAACTATGAGCTTCTTACTAAATAATTTGTTTTTCCCCAATTTCTCTCTTGGTTGTGTGATGAAGATGTTCAATCTGAGCTTCTCTCTGTATTTCTTCTTTTTCTTTTTGCATTTTACAATTTTTGTTTGGCTGCATTTTCTGCATAATTCAACTGAATTTTATACAAGCACAGCAACAATTTGCTTGACTAATTTGATTCTTAACTTTTCTGTTTGGCTGAATTTGTATTTTATATATCTGAATTCGAACTGTGTTTTTGAATTCCTTTGGTCACTTTAATTATTTCCTATGCTTTTAACTATTATACAATTTGTCTAAAGAGTTGGACTTAAAAAACATTGTATAAGATATCATACATACAATAATGTCTTATGATAATTTGATATTATGATAAAAAGCACTTTTTATTTTGGTAGCCAAAATGTTCGATAAAATATCAAAAGCACTTCTATATAGTATAAAAGTGCTTTTATATACAACATCTAAACAACAAACCGCTTCTTTATAGAAGCGCTATTGCCATAAGTGCTACTAGTAGAAGCGCTCCCAAACAAGCTCTCTACTAATTACTAGTTTAGGATTTTTCCAAGTGATCATTGCATTGCCTTTTAAGTTTTTTAATATAACAAGTAAATGTCTCATGTGAAAGTTGCTAAAATACTAACTTAGTTTGTAATGCTTTCAGGGCATAGGCACCTTATTAGCAGGGGTTTTCAGCACAGGGATTGGCTTTACAGCATCAGTGTAATCATTTAACTTTTATTGTAGCCTTGATATTGTTGACTAGTTTGTGGTAATCATATTTAGGTGTAGGCCTTGTAGCACTCACTAATTCTTTTCTTTTTTTTTTTAATCATGGTTGCCAATGTATATATATATATATATATATATATGTGATGTAATATTCTGTTTTTCTAGTGAAAATGCCGGGCTACTAGGATTGACCAGGCAAGGAAGCAAGCGAGCCGTACAAATTGCCGCTGCATTTATGATTGGCTTCTCTATATTAGGTATAGAGTTTCAACTTATATATGTTAGAAGGCAAGAGCTTTTCAAGTTTGTACAAAGTCACTAATTTAGTTGATCCTTCACAGGAAAGTTTGCTGCATTTGTTGCTTCTTTGTCATTGCCAATTGTGGGAGCAGTGTATTGTCTCCTCTATCCATATGTGGGTATGTCTTTGTTTCAATGTGAATGTTAGCCTCTGCTTCCTTATGTTTCTTTAGCATTGATATTGCCTTGCTTCTTGTTTGCCTCTTCCTTGTGCTTCTTTATCATTGCTATTGCCTTGGTTGTTATTAGCCTCTGCTTCCTTGTGTTTCTTCAGCTTTCTCCTTGGACTTCCATTAATATTTGACTTTTTCTTTCCCACAAAAGAACTCTTGTTGTTGCTTCCATTCACCCTATTACTCTGTACTTAGGTATTATTCCTCTGTTCCACAACACCATGTTCTTGTTGCTGCTTATCCACAACCTGAGCAGCCTCCTCCTTCTCCAACCCCAGCTCGTTATTGTTACCATGGTCTTTTTCAGTTCAAGTCTAAAGTATCTTCCCCTTCCTTGGTAACGGTGGCCTCTTATCCCAAAAACCGCCTTAAGCCCTTGTTGATCATGATTGGCCTCCATTTTTAATATTTCCTTTTTCTTCTATTGCCTTGGTTCTTATTAGCCTCTGCTTCCTTATGTTTCTTCAGCTTTCTCCTTGGACTTCCGTTAATATTTGACTTTTTCTTTCCCACAAAAGAACTCTTGTTGTTGCTTCCATTCACCCTATTACTCTGTACTTAGGTATTATTCCCCTGTTCCACAACACCATGTTCTTGTTGCTTGCTTATCCACAACCTGAGCCTCCTCCTCGTTCTCCAACCCCAGCTCGTTATTGTTACCATGGTCTTTTTCAGTTCAAGTCTAAAGTAAATTCCCGTAACCGTGGCCTCTCATCCCAAAAATCGCCTTAAGCCCTTTGTTGGTCATGATTGGCCTTCATTTTTAATATATCCTTTTTCTTCTATTGCCTTGGTTGTTATTAGCCTCTGCTTCCTTGTGTTTCTTCAGCTTTCTCCTTGGTCTTCCATTAATATTTGACTTTTTCTTTCCCACAAAAGAACTCTTGTTGTTGTTCCATTCACCCTATTACTCTGTACTTAGGTATTATTCCCCTGTTCCACAACACCATGTTCTTGTTGCTGCTTATCCACAACCTGAGCCTCCTTAGTATCTTCCCCTTCTTTTTCAGCTCAAGTCTAAAGTATCTTCTCCAACCCCAGCTCGTTATTGTTACCATGGTCTTTTTCAGCTCAAGTCTAAAGTATCTTCCCCTTCCCGAAAACCGCCTTAAGCCCTTTGTTATCCATTTTTAATATTTCCTTTTTCTTCTACATTACTGACATAATTTTGGCATATATATATTGTGTGGGCTTGCAGTTTCTGGTGGTATGAGCTTCATCAGGTTCTGCAACCCTAATAGTTATAGAGTGAACTTCATACTAGGCTTTCCGGTGTTTTTGGGCATCTTTGTGGCTTCATACAGTCATGAGTCTCTCCTGATTTCTGTAGTGGGATCCTCATGGGTGAGTTGAGTAATAATAGTTATGTTTCATGTATTAAATCAAGAAGTATAATAACATGATTTTACATTTTTGTTGTTTTGATCACGTGCAGTGGAGCAACACTGTACAGCTTATTTGTTCATCTCCAGCTTTAGGGGCAGCAGCTGCTATCATCATGGATATCGTCGTGGATAAGGGAGACTTGGCACAATTCAGGGAGAGTGGAAGAATCTGGTGGGCACAATTCAGGGACATTGAAGATGATACCACTTCGTTCTATTCCTTACCTGAAAAGGTGCAGGTTTTTCTAAATTCCTTCACTGCAGTTCTAAATTCCTTCACTGCAATGGTGAGGGATTTGCGACTGTACTTAGGTCTTTGAGAGGGGATGGATGAGAGATGGTCATTATTTTCCAATTTACTCTTCTTTGTATAGAGAGAAACCACAAACCACTTAGCAACAAAAAGATAAAAAAGGAACAACACCACAAACAACAACAAAACGTCAGTCATTGTTTTACATACACACACACACCACACTTGAACACTTTCCCTGCCCTCTCGCAGAAAGAGTTCTTCTCTCCTCCCCCACCCCCCCTCCCTCTCTCTCTGATATAAGTAGCTGTTAGAAACCTGTAATTGACTATTACTGGAGCGTGTGAAGAGTGAAAAACAAAGTTGGTATTATGATCTCCATTTGTTCGACTCTTGTTTTCATTTCTTTTGTTTAGTCTGATATAAGTAGCCGTTAAATAACCTTCGTTATTGGAGCAAGTGAAAAGTGAAAAACAAACTTGGTATTATGCTACTCCTTTATTTGTTTGACCTGTTGTTTTGAATTCTTTTGTTTACATTTGAAGAACAAAAAAAACTTTAGGTACATATGTTGGATGCACATGTCTTAGTCAATGTAAGTATGAAAACTTAGGTGGATGAAAACCGTAGCTATCCTATGCACCACTTCAACTTAACTTTTGCTTAAGTGATGAAGATAGGGATTCAAGATTCAAATTGAGCTAGCTAATGAATTCCAAACAACAAGAGTTTCGTTTTTGAAAAGGCAAGAATCTTAAAAGTATGTAGCTGATGAATTCAGCTGAATTTTATTTCCTAAAATTAAATATTTTCTCACCAACAAAACAAAGCCTTTTTCTTTCACCAATATAAAATTCATTTTCCTTCAATGTTTTGATTCTGAAGCACCAATTAGGGAAAGGAAAAACATTTTAGGAAAATGAATCAAAACATTAAATTTTAGGGTTTCCTTTAACGTTTGACATGTCTCACAATCCCTAGAGGGTCTAGGAAAAAACTTACATATTTGACTCGATTTATAAGTTTTCTATGCATAAATTGGACAATTTATCAATTTTCTTTTCTGCACTCACGTAGAGTGGCATAAATTTCTCAACTCTGACAACAACAAAAAAGAGTAGATTCGAGGCATATAATTTCCCAACTCTGACAAAATCGGTTTTGTGTCCACTTTCAAATTACTTCACTTCACCAAATTAAAACCCTAAACCCTAAACGAGAAGAAGAATATTAGTTAATGGTAAGCAAATCTAAAATTGGCATATGAGATTTCCGTTCACTTTCCTTATTAGTTGCCGTCTATTCTTAACTTAAGCATGCACACCAAGAAGGGAAAGGATTTAAGATTCCTAAGAATTAGCGGTTTCCCTGGTGAAGGAAAACCGAACCTTAGAAATTCTAATAAAATACCAAAAACGGTAAGATTTATAATAAATGAGAAGAATTCATTAATGGTAGGAAAATAAAAAATTTCCATGTATATATGCAGTTTATTCTTAATCAGCAAGAAAGGAAAGGGTTTAAGATTCCTAAGACACAGGGGTTTCCTGGTGCAGCAAAGAAAGGGTTAGAAAATCTAATAACACACCCAAAAAAGGTTCAAAATATTATTAAAAAAGTAATATTGGCATATATTTTCTTATGTATAAATATGTCACAAATCACAATCTTCTCCCAAATTATTTACTTTCTTCAACAACCCTAGTCATCTATTAGCTAGCTGGCTAGGGATTGTGAGACATGTCAAACGCAAAGTATACTGATGTGGCAGATGATCTTGGTCCCAACAACAATGCTCTTGCCCTTATAGATTATTTTGATGGCGATTTTATGTCTTACCCAAAGGAGGGTTCTACAATTTCATCAATGGAGAACCATCGTCTTCATCACGACACCCCCGTATGTATCAAGCTACTTGTTAATTATTAATTCTTCATTATATTATGACTGTATGTACTATATTAATTATAACACTGAATGCTACGTATCGATCTTTTTTCTAGAATTAATATGTTTGTTTGTTGCAGATTACTTATCATGTCGTGAAGGTGAACGTGGCTGACAATTTTCTGCTTTATAGAATAACAAGGAAGTTGGAGAAAATTGACGGTAAAAATTAATAAATAAACCTCTTTATTATAATTATGCGTGCAGTAAGTACAACTGAGTAAGTATATATCAATATGTGTATATCATATGTAGGAGTAAATTCGGTCTCGGAGGGGCTTTATGAAAGAAGGATAGGACGTTGGTGTATTTCAAAGATAACAGTTTGTGGCGATCATGTAGATCCAGTCACAATCATTCAGAAAATACTTAGGTATGCAGAGATTTTGTCCTACAAAATAGAAAAGAACCCTTGTGATGAAGCCTTTAACAACCATATTCAGAATGAAAAACCTGCCGCCGAGGACTTGAATAATTTAAATTCAAAGGTAAGAATAACCATGTCCTTATGTGCAGTTGTCAGTTGTGATTTACCTACCCAATATATCTTCATGCCTTGTTTCAGATTTCTTATGCTGCGAAGGTCGTTAACTTGTGTTGTCTGGAACGCCTTCACAGAATAAAGATAAAGTTGAAGAAACTTGACGGTACGACTTTTTTTTTAATATTTTTATAATTGTATATATCGACTGGATTTTATTTTAGGTAAAATAATATATATGTGAATATATAATATATACTTTAATGAAAGAAGCGTCGATTTAAATTATGTTGGTACGGGTTTAATTTTTAAAATTTTGGGTTTGCATATACGTAGGAATAAATTGCGTGACAATGGATTATAATGGGAGGATAGAAGTTTCTGGTGATCATGTACATCCAGCCACACTGGAAGAGACAATAGAAAAGTATGCACAGATTGAGCTCCACAGAAAGGTCAAGGACAAACCTGTTGCTGCAGCACAAGGATTCAAGAAAAATAAAAACTTCCAATTTGAGGTAAGTAAGAAATTACCAGGACTTTGGTGTTCTCTGATCGTTTGATCAGCATGCATGTATATATGTAAGAAACTATACAACTCTAGCTTACATACATACCTATATACAGAAATTCTCATGTGCAGATGTTGCCAAGCATTTGGTACTGAGTCTCCTTCTCCGTTTTTAATAACAAAATGAACCAGACGTAGGACCAAACTGATAGTTAGCAGCATAAACAAAGAAGGATTTGTAAATGAGAAATACAAGTTTCCTATATTCATAGGAATCAATGGGAGAATTGAAAATTGCTCAAGTGGGTTGTTGGGCGTATACGGAAATTCTTCTATGTGGAAGTCCGAACGTTATTGCTATGTGGATGCCATGTATTTTCTACTACACTTCCCTGTTTTCTCCCTATTTATAATGGCATCCGCATGGTAATAATGTGCGGACATCTAAATGAGAGAATAAATGTGTTTGATATTTTATACAGTAACCATGCATTTATGTGTCCATATATGTTCCTTGTAGACTTGTGTTGTGAAGGTTCCAAGATATTGGATTATATCAAATCGCGAAAAAATAAAGAAAAAGTTGTTGCAGGAAATGAACGGTACAAATGAACTCTTTCATAATTAATATGCAAGCGTTATATATACAGTATTGGTTCCGTTGATATTTAATCAGTTTTTGACTTTTTGGGGTAGGATTAAAAGCCATCACCATGAATGCACGAGAAAAGACGATAGCAGTTTCTGGTGATATTATAGACCCAACCAGAGTCATAGAGATAATATCAATGATTTGTAGGGCACATCGTCCAGAGCTTGTGTCCTACAACAAGAAGAATTCAGATCCTGCAGATCATCAAGAACAAGGTCGACCGATCAAGAATGATAAATTCCTTCAAGATGACACAAAATTATTCCCTGATTATCACGAGGTACATTAATTAATTATATTAACCTAATTGCTCTGGTGTTGTTTGATTGTTTGAGCATGCATGAAGTTAACTAATTAGTACTGATGTTGATACTCGAAGGGTCTTATTGCTCTTCCATTGATGGAGAAGAACCACCGTTTTGATGGTCCCGTGGTATGTATCTTGCTACGCCTCACCCCTTCATTTTACGCCTAAATTTAATTAAGTTATATATGTTCTTGCAGACTTGTGTTTTGAAGGTACAATGTTCAGGTTGTGTTGACGAAGTAAGGAAAACGTTGCACAAAATAAAAGGTGCACAAGTTTTTATTATTCATCAAAACTCTTCTTACTACTTATTGTTTTAATCAATACTCATATTTATATGTATTTATTTTCTATTTTTTGGGTTGTAGGAGTAAATTTCGTCTTCAGCTTCTCACGATTTGGATTTGATTGGAAGCTAAAAGTTTTTGGTGATATAGATGTACTCACAATCACAAACACAATATTGACAAAATACAAGAGATCAGTATTGCTTTCCGCCTACAATGACTGTCGTCACCCCAAAAAGAAACCAACTGGGGTAAGAAATTAACAAAGATTACACTGTGGTGCTCTTATTCAATTATAATTTGCATTATACATTTTTAACATATTAATGTTGCAAGTAGTTTCCACATGCTTTGATCTAATATAGAAAAGTATCTTTGTTTTGAACAGGTTTTGGAGCGACTGGTTTCCGCTTTCGAAACTTTGTGTGACGACTTTTGACTTCTTTGGATGATTATCATTTTGAGGAGAATTTATATATATATATATATAACCTTAGCTTTTTAGTCACATATGTCTCACTCCGTGTCACAAGTACCAAAACCTAGGTGGATGGAACCTTACCTATCCAAATTTCTATACACACATGTCAATTGAATTGAAATGATTTTTTTGATAAGGGAATGATTTCATTTAAATTACTCTAATATAAGGGAATGATTTCTTTTAAATTACTCTAATATATGGGAATGAGATGGAACTTAGGTGCAAGGGAAGGAACAATGCTTTAGTTAATTGTTTTAACTCACATATGCTACAATTGAATTGAATTTAAAATAAACAATAATAAATTAGTGAATTTTACTTGGTCATAATTTAATATTCATAAACGTGTAATCACAGAAGTAATTTTGTGGTTACATGCATGCAGTGACGGTCCTAATTAAGGTTTTGGAGGCCCTGGTGGAACTACCAAAATGTGACCTTTGACTCCTTGGGTTGCATGATTGGTAGACTCACAGCCTTCCTGATCCAAACCATGCATGGAGATGAACCAAGAAGGTAGAGTTTCTTTGATCAAGGACTGACTATTATACATCAGAATCACAATCTTCTCCAACATTAGTTACTTTCTAGCTACGACTAACTAACATAATAGTCAGCAGCGCAGTCTATAATATTAGATAGCAAGCTAGGGAATATTGTGAGACATGTCAAACGCAAAGTGTACGGCTCTGGCAGTGAGGCAAACCGTAGCTATCCTATGGACCACTCCAAAACATAAAGGGTAAATGGTGGAAAACCCCCCTGGACTATTCGGCTTGTCGAATTGTCCATTCTGAAAAAAAAAATTCAGCCAATTTAGCCTTCGTATTAAATTTAATCGCCAATTTCACCCATGCCGTTAGGTTTTCCCCAATTCCATCCAAATGCCCGTCAAAAAAACCACGTGAGAAGCACGTGAGTCATCTACTGAGGGTAATATCGTCCCTTCACACCTCAGCCCTCAGCCCCCAGCCCCCTTTGACTGATTCCTTCTCTGTAAACAGCCAAAAGTTGGAAAACTTAAAAAAAAAACCAAAACCAAAACCAGGCCAAAGAAATCAACAACGAAAACAAATCTGCAACCCAGATCTACATCAAAGCTTTGGACACAAACCCTCTTCAAAGTTTTTTTTCCCAGATCTGCAATCCTGTCACTAATGAGGAATCTTGAAAACCAGGTGTCGCTTTGTCTTTGAAGGTACCACCCCAGACTCGAGCCGGGTTATTGCGAGTGCTAGGGAGGCTTGCACTGAATTTGTGGGTGCCACTGCTTTTGATGGGAAGTTGATGGCTACACAAAGTATTGTTTGCGTTATTGAAGTTTTGAAATTGTTTGGAAGTTAAAACCTTAATTATTGAAGTTGCAATTTGTTTTGGTGGTGTGAAGCATCAAAGGTTGGAGGCGAGAGTGGGTTCCACTTGTGTGTGAAGCATCACAGGTTGGAGATGTTGAAGGTTTTGGTGGAATGTATTGGGATTGCAAGCTATGTTATACCCTCCCAATCTAAAAATCCATCATAAATCAAATTGCAAATCTGAAGGAAAAATTAATTGCTTACTACAATTTATTGGCATGTCATTCACACTAACAGATTCATAGTATCCATTACTGACTGTAAGGCCTGATCTGGACATTATAGCCTTGGCTGCAGCTTGATTGACCACCGAACAAACAGACTGAGGTGGAGTCAATAAGGTCTCATAATCACCCAACCGCTGTAAGCACATAATTAACCCCTTGCGACGCTTTCCTGGAGCTTGTTCCTTTCTTTGGTTAGTACGATCCCCTTCGATTTCCTCCATCAGCTCAGCTTCCTCTTCTTCAATAATATTAGTCACTGCAAGTGTCGTAATAGACAACAACATGCATAAGCAGGTATCAAGACGAGGGACAGGTCCTTCTCTGGGATCCCTTTCCTATAAAACAAGGGAAAAGGTCATAATAGGTCAATCTGGTTAACAACTGAAACAGAGCATATAAAGTTTGAGAATAAAGCTTGCTAAGATCTAATCACATTCAATTAAACTGGTTATTTAGAGACACCTATATATTATATACAGGACGTATCTGAACATACATCAATTGAGCCTTTCATGTTTCAACATTTTACTTCTGATTCATCACACATAGCAGCTACTTCAACAAAACAAAACAAAACAAAACAAAAGGAGCTTATCTAGTGTTTTTAAATCCCTCAAAGCAGAGCCAAAATAACTACCATTTTTTTAATTGCAAGCTACGGAATTGCAAACCACATGGGTTAGACTCCAGATGAGCCAAGCCCTTGGATGCCCTAACATGTTTACGTAAATAAGGGTTTGATGTCAGCTTGAGGTAACCTGATGAGCCTGCTCAAAATTTGAAATCAAACTTTTTTGATGCATCACATCAGTTCGTACACATATATCACATATGCATAAATATTGTGGTGGGCGTTTAGGGAGTGATCCAGGCAAACATTGGCATTTGAAAACCTTATCCAGTAAAAACTTCTATCTCTAGACATGCCTCTTCTATTTGCAAAACTGAAGAGTGTGTGTGTGTGTGTGCGCGCGCACTTTAGGTATAAACATGAATTAGTCTGAAAAGCATTGTATATCATCCTTTCCAGCACACAACAAGACATCAATCGATCTTTAAAGATATATATTTCTAAGCTAGTCGGCATCAATTCTTACTCTCTGAACAAGTCGCAGGGCTGCAATCCATAAACCTAAAAATGCGTTGTGCCATGTGGTGCTATTAACTGCCTGCAGAGCCTTTACTAAACCTGCAACATTAACTCAGATCAACATCTCTGACTAAAAGAACTAGAATCTTATCAACTTGCAAGACAGAAAGATTACTGTACAAGAATTGGCCGCACCAGTAAGGGTTTCAACGGCACTAATTATTGCTACTTCTGATCCATCCATAGCATCTTCCAGAAACAGATCAATGGGAAGCCAAAAAGCAGATGAACTCACTCCGTGAGATTGACTAGCAGAAGACCTCAGAGACCCAGAAGACAATACTGCATGAAATTCTTTCTGTGAAATGATTTTGCATTCCCGAGTCAGAAGTCGACGTGTATCAGATGTCAACTGCAGAAGGGACTCTGGAGTTATATGTTTCAAAGTCCTCAAAACTGATGAGTTTGCTGCAAGCACTTGCATTTTCTGAATGAAACCTCCCCAATGTGACGGCCTAAAAAGAAGAAGGATGACATATTTGGCATCTTCATTCAATAATACTTTTCAAAACTCTAACATGGGATTTTAAACTAGTCAAACTACAATACACCCATGCTTACTAAAACTGCTGTTTTCCCACTTCTCCCTCACAAACACGACATGATTAACATTAAGATGCACACAAAGCAAAAAAAAGTAAATGAATATAAAAATAATTAGGTCCTTACAAATTTCGGCGTGTCAGGCACAAAATCCTTGAAGTTACTTTGTTTTGCAGAAGCTCTACAATTATCTCAATAGCCATTGCAGTATTTGCTTTCTGCAAGCCTTCATTTTGCTCACTTCTCTTCTCATTAAAGCAATCATGACCATCTATTTCCATATCTTCTGGCCTGGTAGACCATCTAGACTTCTTATCTGGGGTAAGTTCCAGCAAACCTTCATCATCTAATGATGCATCAAGTAACTGCCATATGATGGAAAAGACAAACTCAACAATAACAACTCCAGGTTCACACACTTGAAGGCCATACAGCTGGGAAAGATGCAGAACATCATCAATGGATTTTATGATCCTGTAATTGCATCAAAGTTAAAAATTATTGCGTGGGCATAAAACAGCAAATTATCCACTGACAGAAAAGAAAAAGAAAAAAAGGAAAATAAATTACTATATATGCATTATTGTACGACAAAAAAGAGAAAAACTGAACCTTACTTTTGACAATTTGGTCCATTCAATTGTGAAGCAAATAAAAATGTATGTCTCTTAAGAAGTTCCATGTAAAGTCTATATGCTGCAGGGTGAAGTTGCCGATTTGGAACAACCCTGTATTAAACAACAATAGCATTAAATGCCAATTTTAACCAATAAAAATAAGCATATGTATAACAATAGTTGATAATGGAACATCAAAAAGTGTAGAGAACAGGAAAAAAGAGAGGACCCAATCTATAGTGTAAGACAGAGTATAGTAAGTGCAAATGTTGAAGATGACATATTTAAGGTATAAGATCCATCATACTAGATAGCACATACTTGAATTACAATATCTTTTCAAACCACCATCCGAGATACAATGAAGCATATTCAATGGAAAATTACCGACTCTTACAAGTAACTCAGTCATTTCGCGCGAAACCATCCCTAAATATTACCATATAGTTAAGTTGGATTAACTAATTTGCCTAATTTATGTATGTAATGTACCTAACCAAGGTACGACAAATATTAAAACCATTCAAACAGAAGAACCACACTGTAGGATTTCGGTAACTAATCGGATATTTCATCTACTATAAAACCTTTGAACCCCATAAACAATCAACTTCAGTACACTATCAAAATCACCAAACAATATAAATAGTTGCTTTAACATAATAATGATGATTAGAAATAAGAAAATGACAGTAAAAGCACGATTTGTAAGGGAGTGAGGGGTGAGTACTTGGTAGAGAGCAGAGCAAGAACAAGCATGGGAGGGACGATCTTGACGGTCAAGGCCTTCTCGAGGAACTTCCACGTGATGGGCACGTGATTGGCCCAGCAGATGTGGGAGACGAGGAGGTGCGCGAGCTCGACGGAAGGCAACGCCACGGCGGCCGAGTTGAGGCTGTTGCTGAGCTGAACCGCCCAGAGGAGCGGGTCGCTGTTCTTGTCCTGGGCGGACTTGGTGAGCTGGAGCACCGTGTCCCATAGATGGCTCAGCGGTTGCTGTACGGACACCGCCATCATCGTCTTCTAGATTTCGACCGGAGAGGAATTAGGGTTCATTACAGGGAGAGAATCTGAGCCTTTTTCTTTTGTTCTCCTTTGCTCCCTTGGATTCTGGATTGTGTAATAGTGTTTGGAGACTCAACTGAGAGGAAAAGCTTAAAAGTCAGTTAAGGAGGCGGGTATATGTTCTCCGTTGACTTGACTGGTAAAAGATATCAAATACGTGTCTTTCTGAAATATGAAAAGGCAGGGTTTATGTTGTTTCTCATATATCTATTTTTTGATTGAATTTGGATGGGAAATGCTACCTAACCACCCTTTTGTTGTGGTTTGATGATCGTAGTTGTCTTATTAGATCAACATTTAATGATTATTTTTGACAAAATAAACTAAATAAATAGAATGTTGATTAAACACTAAATTAGCACACTATTGAGATTGACCGAATGGTTAAACAATTTCCGATTTGAATGATTTTTGTGGTTTAAATGATCTCGAAAATGAAAGGTTCGGAACACCAACAACATGGAAAAATATGAAGGAAAAAAGGAAACATACAAATGGAATGGATCTAGCAATTCCCAATTTGGATTTGATTTTGCATACAAGAGAAAATTGAAAATGGAGATCATCGCATATTGAATCTTAATTCATTGCCGGCCAAAAAACATTATGATTGGTTGAACAGTAGTCCTCTAATTTTTTTATTTTTTGGGTTAACTTTTTTCGGAGCAGAATTTACATTTGCTTTGGTATTACTATTACCTTAGAATGCCACAAGCCCACAAGTGGTTGCTAATCTGACAGCTGAAAATGGGCTAGGTGGGCCGTAAATAGTGACAGAGGCCCAACCCTCCTTTTTCGGTTTATACGTATAAAACAAAAAGTAGTTCTACCTTTAGAGAAATTTATACGTATACCCACCTTGTAAATTACTAACTCACCCTCTTAACCTTTAAGCATCTCATCATGTGCACCACAGGGCAGAAGCTCCGTACTCTGTAGGTAATCCAAATCACACAGATGAAATCTACCCCCAAACCCAAGCAGCAAAATCATGTCAAGAAATTATATCCATAGATTTGAAATCTAAATGCAAATGCAAATCCTCTCTCCCAAACCAAACGGGGCCTTTGAGAATTTGCATCATTTCACCATCCGAGACCGATGACGAAAAAGGAGGCATGAACAAACTTATATAACATTAAGGCATGACCCCCTAACAAGATTCCTACTACATATGTGCGATGGTACCCTTGCTCAGAATCTCCAACAGCTTCAGACTTGTAATTCCTACATATATTCCTACATGTGATGTTTCTGTCAATCCTGCGGTATGTGAACGAAAATTGCAATAACTTAACTTCAAGTGAGAATCTAATGCTGAGGTTGCATTGCTTGCGCTGAATCCAGGCACCAACATTTGTAGTTTGGTCTCGACATTTCATAAAGCTCATCGACCGTCATCTTCTCAAGTTTGTCGGTTTCCCAAGAATCAAAACTTCCAGGGATGTCTTTTGCACACAGCATAGCAAGTGAAGCCACATTGCCTTCTTTCTGATGATCTAGCGCACAGAACCTTTTGTAGAGTCTCATAGCAGACACACAATCTTCATATGGATCATGAAAACCTGACTGGATATCATACCTGTAAAACCAAAGCCTCATGACACTAAATATTCAATGGAGCACTTAAAACTAGAGCCTGCTTCTACAAGCAAATAACATAAATACTAAAAAAGTTAAAATCTGAGAAGAAGAATAACTTGCCCTAGATATGTTCTGGTGAGGTACTTGAGCGGGTGGCTAACCAGATTTGTTTTCATCAGAGGATGGTAGTTTGCAGTATCCCTGCATATAAAATAAGTAACCATCAAGCATCTAGAGAGGCAACAGAGAACAGGCTTCTTTGCTCAATCTATGTCAAATAGATGCCATATTAAAGCTGGTCCTTCATGCAAAATTTCATCATGACTAACGCCATAATCTTGACTGGCCTGAATGAAAAGAAGTACAGCCATAAACGCAATTGTCCAAGAAACAGTGACACCATCTATCTTACATATACACAAAGCAGCCCAAACACGATGGCCTATATAATAAAGAAAGGGACTGAAGAGAAGAATAGGAGTGCATATGAGAACCAGAGCATAGCATGACATGATAGTTCAATCAGATCTAGAAAAACTATAGAAACACTGTGCTAATGATTCACATATCTCAAGAAGAGGATTACAGAAGAAAAACAGAAACTCTTATACCTCAGCAGGTAATCAGGATAGTTTATTCTCAAGCAATCCAAATCATTTTCTAAACTATGCCCCACAAGAAGCTTGGTCTTTCCATTATACAAAATCTGCAAAACCTTATCTTGCACTTTTTGGAGTGGCATGCCATCTCTGAGATGCTCTTCTGTTAACCCAGTAACTTCATATCTGGAATGGAAACATTGTCATGATCAGAGGCCTATTCACAAAATTCTTGTAAGAAATCAAAGATGAGAAACATAACACACTAGTACCTGTAATTAACGACAGGATATTGGGGCTGCACGTAAGTGTGGAAGAGGATAGTCTCGTCTTCATCAATCAGGCACACCCTTGCACACAGGTCCAGTGATCCATCACTTCCACCAGCAACCATTTCACAATCCAGAGCAATTGCTTCCGTACCATCTCCAACGTGATATTTGTTGCTGGAGTTTATATCATGTTTAAATTCTTCACATCGCTCCATCATTGTTACCTGCAACACTTCGACTGAAAATATAAGTAATGTATGTGCATATCTTATATACAGTTGCAGCTAAGAGTATCTTTAATGGGTAAAAAGGGTAAAAGATTCAGAATACTGGAAGATGACAAGTTTCCCAATTCCATACTGGATGCTTGATGTTCAACTAATCAACTTACCAGAGGAACAGGTGCAGATAGGCGACACATATATTTATGCACGCTCAGAGAATATTATGATGTTGCCCAAGTTTTGGGCTCGATCCGGATTCAATAGGTGTGAGAAATTGGTCAATTCAATTTCAACGACAGTTCGTTCCTAATTTGAGTGGTTCGTGTATTCCATACTTCTAGAGGTTGGATTTCACTCAAAACTCACCAAATGACTCCTCCCACCATGTTATGATGTTGCCCAA